AGCCAAGGTTAAAGAACAAGAACTGATCTGGAAACTTCTTTTTTTTCTTTCTTTTTTTTTTTTTTAATGAAAAAGAGAAGCAAAGCATATTTCTGAAGTAGTAAATACATGTTAAATATAAGAAGAGTTATTAATGCATGGCTGTGAATTAATACGATGAATCCAATCAAAAGGTGAGGCTCTGCTAAGAGTGAAGCAATACAGTTGCCTTTTATCCTCTAAGTGTCATTAGAAGATACTTTATTTTGCTTGCTTCCTATGTTCACTGCAAGGCTATTGCCTACAGACAAGGAAACAAAGTCATAGCTAAATATTGAGTGAGAAGAGCTCATTCCTCCCCTGTGGTGCAAAATATAAATAGAAGCAAGTGACCAAAATATAGAAAAACTTTCCCTAGTTTGTACAATAGTTCAATAAAGAATGGGGATATTGAACAAAGTCTTTTGATTCACGTTGCCATTTTATGCAAGCCTCAAAACTTTCCAATCATTTTGTCATCATGAAAATCCCTGTTGTTCTGCCAGACTATTTTTGTGGCATTTTGTTTGCATTTTTTTGTAAGAGAAAACTACTTTTAGAGTCAGTGAATGCAGAGTTAAAATATATGCCAGGTACTGGGAGAACATAAGTACATGGTTTCCTGAATTTGTACCTTAATGTGCCTCACCTATTAAAAAGAAGTGATCTAGAATATCTCTTCTTAGTGATGGTTGATGGTTGATCTCCCCTCCTAAATTACTTTCTGATTATGCCGTTTCTGAATAGTTGTCATACTGTGTCACCTTTTAGCTTCAGTCTCACTCTCTCGGCTTTTATTGGAAGGGTTCATACAGGGATTTCCCTTGAAAAAAGCAACATCACCTTATCAACACACAGTGTTGACCTCAGAGTGTTATAAACTACTTGTAACAATTCACTCACCTGAAAACTATAGATAAGATTTAGAAGCAGTGACATCTTCCTGTGTTGATTCCAATATGCTTTTGAGGAGGTTTTGAAGAACTTTATTTTGGTTTGGTTTTGTTGGGTTTTTTTTATAGAGTATAATATAAAATCTTTTTACTATTTTTACACAGGCATGTTTTCATTTAGACTGCAGCGTTCAGGAACTGAATGTGCCTTTTGTATGTATGCAGAGCCCTCAGTAAAATCATGTTCTTGCAGTTCCAGTTAGCACTATAAATAGCTTTAGAATAATGTTGTGCTGAGAGCCATAGAGAGCCCCCATAGATGCCTCCCAGAATCCCGTTAAAAGGCAGAGGAGCAATGTTCTTGGGAGCTCAAAAGAGAAAGAACCCTTGCTAGTTATGCCTCTTGACATGAATTTTACCCAACATCACAAGTAGAGGGGAGATATCCTCTAGTTCCCTTTCACCCTTTTACCCTGGTCATGTTTTCTATAAAAATGTTTGAGCCTTAGTAAAGACAACTGCAATTACAGTGTCAATTGCCACTTTATGAAGAGAACTCAAGGATAAGCCTCTCTGTTCCACATCCATTTCCTCCTGTCCATAAACAGCCCTGTTTCTCTGACAGCTCTTTCATCATCATCAACTTGACCTAATGCAGAATTCTGTCTGCTGCGTCCTTTTGTGTTGCTGTGGATGTCTCAGCCATTCTTCAAGTCAGCTTAGGCCTGCTCTTGTAGATTCTTTCTGCAGGGTATCCTTGAGGTACAACCTGTCCCAGCTATCCATGCAGCTAAAAAATTACTCATGTAGAGTCTTGCATCTCACTTACTTCACCATCAATTTCCCTGGCCGTGACTTGACAAAAGTAGTCTTGCCCTACTCTCATTCATTCAAAATGAGCACTTCAGGCTTTCCATTTCACTTAGTTTTTCTCCACTGACTCCTTCTGTTCTGTCTCATCAAGACTAACTACTAGCTTCCAATGTCAGGGCTGCTCACAGTCTTTAACTCCCTACTCAGTTGTGGGGTTTTTTTTGTTTTATTTTTTAATATGAAAAGACAGACTTTCCTCTGTAAATGTTAAACTACATGGGTGTCAATCACTTGCCCATTTTATTCTTGTACTAGCATCTCTTACCTTTCTTACACGATTCCTTTGGGAAGGGGTGGAGATCTTGAATATCTAATGACATGTTTCATTTCCCTCCCACAAATCCTTAAAATGCTCATTCACTGTGATGCCTCATTGTTCTCGGCACCACTTAGATTTATCAGTTACTTGTGTAACTAATTAAACTGTTGTACTGTAACTAACATGCCATGCCCAGTCCACTGTGTTTCTTTGAGCATCCTCATCTGTATCCTAGCTCTTGCTGATTGTTCGAAAGAGAAGAGTTGCTTTGAGAAAAAGGCCATCATTGTAATGTGTTTGGTGTTTGTACAAAGCCTGGCACACTGACTCTTGGCAGTTCAGAATCAGAAGGTGATTAAGGTATGCTTTGTGTCACTGGGTCTACGTAAATGGTTGATGGATTGTGATTTGTTGTGGATTCCAGCAGATTGTTCCAGACACCTTCATTGAACTTGCCACATATGCCACTTTGATAGTAATATACAGGCAGGCATATAACACCTAGAGGTGTTGATACATCATGAAATATTTATAAGTATAGGAATAATGTAAAACCTCATCCAGACTCGATCCATCATCTTGAAACATTTCATACCTAAAAAATCTCACTGTGTTCAGCACAGCCACCCATGGAGGCTTCATGGAGACTGCAAATGCACTTTTAGTATGGATTGAAAATGAATAAACCAAACTCTGAAATTCAATTTAGTTTAATTTTAACATCTGATGTAAAAGCTAAAGTTTTTTTGCATACTAGGGACAATATAATTTTAATAATAATTTGAAATGTCTCTCTGTGTTAGTTATTTGCAGCTTTAAAGTAATTTTCATTCCAAAAATGTGTTTGAAAAATGCTTCAAGGCACTGAATTCCAAAATACAGACTAAAAGGTGGAGCTTTGATATGTTGGGCTTAGATCTGTTCAGAGTATCCAAGTGTACGTGCATTCTCTGATTTGGGTTGAAAAGTTTAGCATAACATCTTTGCATCTTCGTTCAAGATGTATCAGAGTTTTACAGATACCATGATAAAACAATGCTAGCCTTCAAATAAAAGTCGTGTGTTAGCAGTAGATTCAGTAATTGCGATTCAGTAATTGCTGATTAGTAAAGAGCATTTAAAACTTAGACAAAACCACATTGACCAATGCACTGAGTCATGGCCAAATAACAGCAGCCCAGGCACCATCATGCTGAACTGTTATACATGCTGTTCATCTTCCCCACTGTGAAATCCTGCATACATCACCATCTCTGCCCTAATTTTGTCAATAAAGCTCTTCCTTAAATTAAATAGCTAAAACAAGTTATCCTTTGGAAATTCTGATTTAGCTCTCTAGAGTGGTTTTTTTAGCCTTTAATAATAAGCCGTATATAGATGCAAACAAACATTTTCAAAAACCAAGTAAATGGGCTTATGTATGTCTGCAGGAAAATGTTTTGACTGTGTAACTATGATAATGTGATTGACAAGTAGAGAAACAGTAGGGGTTATTTAATTTTTCTGGCTTGGTAAGTGAAATGCTACCTGGATGGAAGACAGATGTGTAATCCAGTGAAGCATTTTTCCCTTTCTAATTAATGATACTTTGAACTCCTTGGGGGAGACCAATTTGTGGACCCCATGCTGCATTATGCCTTCAATAAACATATATACTGATTCTTAAGCACAGATCAAGTAGCTCAGCTTCTGAAGCCTGATTTTGCTCTCAGTCTCAGTATATTGCTGTATGATTTTTACAGCTTGGTATCTTACAGAATTTGTGGAGTTCAAAACATACTCATGTTAGATTAATGAACTCATTGTGAGATGTGCAGCTCTTTTTTCCTTTGTTTGGGATAAAAGAAAAGCTGGTATTTAATTTAGTCAGGAAAGTTTAAATCAAATGGTTATTTTTCTTCTTTTAAGTCACTTATAATTTCTCACAATTGCATAGTAAATGATATAATTTGAAAAAGAACAGTGAAATAAATATTGCTGTTATTAGCATTGAAATCTGTCTGTGTGTATTGCCATGGGAATAGTTGCTTCTCAGTCCCATCCCAGGCTCTGCCACTTGTCTACTATATTTTAGCAAGCAATCTACTCATTTGGTTCCTTAGAGACAAGGAATTAGAGACAATGTATTAACTGGAGATGTGACCACATCACTTACAAACAGCGTGGTGTTACAATTCAGTTCTCAAAATCTATCTACACTTAGGATTCCTATTTATTTCAGGTGAAAATAATTTTTGGATGGATCTCAGGAACATTATTTGTAGCGTACATGTTTGAGAGATGATTAATGGATGAAAAGTTTATAGAAGTTTTGCATTTTGAATTCTGTTTTTGTTTTGGTGGCATAACAAAGTAGAAGGAAACCAAAGCACATTAGTAAGAGATAATGACAACACTCCAAAGTATAAGACTGAAAAAAGGGAGACTATTGTGGTTTAGTCTAATCTGATTCACCCATGCTGAAGTAAGCACATTTTAGTCTAATAAGAAATTTAGTGTACCTATTTTCCAAAAATTAGACCTGATTTAATGCAGTAAGTAGTGTGACTGTTCACACATGATCTTCTATGTCAAATTCAGGAAAGCCACATGGCTGCAGGATGACAGGCCTGTGTATCTGATACTGTGAAGGAAGATCTGGTTATGATTCAGGGCAAGACCCCTGAACCCGTGTCTGAACTGAAGGAAGTCTCATGTAGCCAGTGTTTGCTGTACAGTTGGAAGCAACATCTTAACCCAAGGAGGTTTTTCTATCATCTACTTTGTAATAGAACAATTTTACTGCTTTTCTGTTTGATATAGCAATATTATCTCTCTGGGAATATTTGAGGTATTGTTAAGTTTTTTTGGTTGCTTTTATTTTTCTCTCTATAATAAGTAGTTACTCCAAGTGTTACTTGAAATAGCAACTATTCTCCCTGAACTGCAATTTTATTTTCTTTTGGCTTTTATTTCAGCTGCGGGAGCCAGCTGCTCCAAAGAGTGTGGGAAGCTGACTTGGAGGCCTGTCAGCTGTTGATCCGAGGATTTCAGCTGAAAGAAAGCAGTTGCTGTGTTTTTGAGGAAGAAGAGAACCAAATGGATGAGATGGAGATGACTGCTGATGCCCCACCTGATTCTGAAAAAAGAAAAGAAGGTCACTTTCTAAAGAGCACAGAGTGGGGTGCTGTTTCCTGCCCAAAACACAGGGAGCTGAAAGAGGTATCTGAAATAGTCTGAAGCTGCATTTCAAGGGATACTGCTGGTTTTCGTTTTGAGAGGAGGAGTTGAATCTTTGTGATGGGTCAGCAGGGCAGGTTAAGTATGAACTTAACATCTGGCTTCCAATTTGGGACATGAGTAAAATAGCTCATTAGCTTCTCAGAAGTCCCTCAACCCTTTCTCCTTTTACCATCAGTCTTTCTAAAATGCAGAAATTAGTCAGACAATAAATATAGAGTGTACATCAGGATTTAAAGGAAAAAAACTATTAAGTATTTAACCAAAATTATCAGTTGTTCCTCATCTCTCTGGCAAGTTTCATTCTGAGTTAGTTCTGCTGACTTGTTAGCCTGGATCATTGTTAGCTGACATGAAGAGGGAGTTAGCTTTCCTCCCTTAGTGAAATGGTCAAAGGCTTCTGAGCTAATAGATGCCAATAGGCTTAGAGCATCCAACAATTATTAAAAGGAGGAAAAAATAATGAAGCTTAGAAGGGTTGAGAAATTTCTTTTAAGTTTCCATGTTTTGATCTGGAATGCTATCCCTGGTTGAAAAATCAACCACTATCTAACAGTCTTTTAACTGTATTGCCTAGGTAAACAAGCTATTAAAAAGGCTTCATCACCCAGCAGCACCACTGTGACAAAAAGACCCTCCAACAGCAGTTGTTAGTTTTATTACCATGGAATGAAGTTGGAAAAAACTCAAATTATGCTTAATTGCATCTGGTGTTAAGAGCCATTGAACTGTGCATTGCTCTGAAATCTGATGCCTAATTTTGCATTTATACAGGCTGAGTCTTAGTGGAAAGCAGACCCATACCTGACTGTAAAATCTCCTCTAGTTAGTAAAATTCTGGTTTTATATTGAGCTTCAGTAGTTCTTGCAGTCTTTTCCCGGGGCAAATGGCATCACATACAGAACATTTTTATTAGAAATGGTCAATTTGGCTTTGATTCCACCCTCATCACTGCCTTGCCATATTTTTATGAGTCTGCTGAAATAATATGAGTTTCTGTTGGAAAGCTGTGCTCCTCTTTCAAATGTGCCTAGAGGCTCTGGAGTGTTTGGGATTTTGTGACTGTTTCTGTAGCACTCCTGATATTTGTGCTATAGATTATCACCCTTATTTCACCCCTGCAAGCCCAGATTGTTTCCCTGGAAATCAACCTTGCTATCCAAGAATGACAGCTGGGCAGCTGACTTACTGGTTATGGAGAGATGTGTAGGACTCGAGGAATGGTTCCCCATATCTTGAATGGAAGAGGAAACTATTTGCAGTGACAGGCAGTTTCTAAACTTTTGGAGAAGACCCATAGCAGATTATTCCCTAACATCTCTAAGTAGTTCATCACAAGTCAGGATATAAAAACAAAGGAAAAAGCCTGACACAAATCATGCTAACATGTGATTTTGAACCTGTTGAAGTGCAAGAAAAAAGCCATCTTGATTTGTAAATGAACTTGAAAAACAAACCACTTCTGAAGCTTTAAATGTAGCATTTAAATGCTCTGTTATGTGGTAGTGTATTTTTAATTTTAAAATAATTCGATATTTGAGGCAAAAAAAATAGTGGTGTGGTGCTTAGTCTCTCAGTTTAGCTGTTTATATGACCTTTTCATAGCCATTTATCAACAAGTGAGGATACCTAATAGAAAAGCATGTATTTGTCAAAGTATGGTGTTTCATATTATTTAACAAGGCTGTGGTGCCCCTGTGAGAGGGGTAGCTTGCTGTGGTTGCCATGTTTCTGGAATGACTATTCTGTTCAACTGTGTCACAACCTCTGTTCCCCATCATGGAATTTCTAGAGAGCACCATTGGCCACTGAAGCAGAAGGAAAGAGTCATGTTCTTTGTACTTAGAGGTTACTGTATTAATTCAAGACAATATACGAAAGGCTGATAATAGCATTTGTGCATATATGCCTTGGAAAGTACATTTCATCCCCAGATGATTGATTTACTTTACAGTGGAATTCTAGAAATGAAGCTCTCCAGTTATTTATTGTGTCATATAGAACTAAGCACTAGTGCCAGGTGAATATAACTGTGTCTTACTCTATAGGTTCCCTTATAAAGAAAAAAAAAGAAAAAAACCCAAAAAACAAAAAACAAGTAAGAAGCATAACAATAATAAGATAAGCAAAATAGATGAAAGAGTCCTTCTCATAGATCCTCAGATACTGCTTTGCAGAAGGGCCATTTATCATTTTTAATTAAATAGCCTCACTAAATCAGAAAATAAGACATGTTCTGGTATAAAAATATATAAGGTATAAATTCTTTGAAAGTTTGTTATTTTACTATCATGTGAACACAGGTTTATTAACTGTCAACAGTTATTTTATAGTTTTCATAACTGTGTTTTTTAAGATGCTGCTGGTTTTTTTCCCCCAGTTTTTATGTGGTAGACTGGCATCCCAAAATAATTCAGTAAATCAGGCTTCCTTTATAACACTGACTGTTAGCTAGGGATGAAAATCAGATGCATTGGCAGCTCAGCTAGTTGAAACGTCATTAATGATGTTTTGGTGAAAACTAAATAAAGTGGGGCCAGCAAATAACTTCCTGTGAACCACCGTGAGTTACTTAAATAAGATGTGCTTGTCTCAATTGGAGATAACTCATTAGGCTGTAGCATTAAGAAAACGCTGGAGCAAAGTTGCAGACTATTGCTACCCTCAGTCATGTGGAAGTCAGCTTGTCTAATGTATTTGATATAGATTCTTGAATTCTCATATAAGTGTGTACTTTCCAGCTGGTAGCTTTGTTGATGAAATTAGGGTGTCCCATCATTTCAGTTGTAGTCTGATTTGGTTTTTTTTTTTTACTGTTTGGGCTTGATTTTCTTCTAAGGCTCTGAAGAATTAAAGGTGGGTTTTTGTTTTTATGCCACAAATGTTTCATACTTTTAAACTGAGTGTGGTGGAAGTTGCAATGATCATTACTACATGGTTAGAGGCATATCTGGGTGATTTCTAAAATATACAGTATCATTTCATTTCTCTTTGGACATTAATGCCTGCTTCTTCTGCTCCTTACAATATCTTGCTTTATTTTTTTGCTTCTTGATAATGTGTGTGTAAGCAAATGCTTTTATTAAAAGCTTCTGAAAACAGCAAACCCACCAATGATAACTAATAAACTGAGAGATTTCTGTGTGCTGGGACCTCCTAACAGCAAGTAACCTGATGAACATGGATATGTGTGCACGTGCAGGCTTGAGTTCCTGACCTATCCTTTTTTTCTTCTTCTGCTCTCTGGCATGCTGTGCAGTGCTCCCTCTTAATCACTATGAAGGAAAGAAACACCTACTAGATTTCAAGAAAATTGAGGTGATTAAAGTTACAAGGTAAAATCCAAAATTCAGTAGTTTCACCTTCTGTAAGTCAGCATTTTTGGTAGTTGTCCCATCAGAATTGTTTGTAGTTAATTCCTCACTTTTTCATCACAAAGGAAGTAGAGAACAAGGGTAAGGCTGTCTTTTCCTCTTCTCTACGTACTTCAGTTTGGCCATCTGGGATTATGTTTTGGGGTTAGCTGAAGATCACTCTGGTGATTGGAAAATGTTCTATAATTGTAAAGCCTTCATGTGATTAAATTTTTAAAAGGTGCTGAGGTCTAAGTGATACCAAATGGACCATCACCAAAAAAAAATTGAATGTGGTGTCTGCCATTAAAAAGAAGTTATCACAGAACATGATACAACATTTTTCAGAATTTAGTGATAGCAAGCACCAAGAAAGCCTTTGTGAGCAGACTGTAACTGATTACTGTGCATTGGGATAGCCTGTGGTCCAGGAGGCAAACATGTAATGTGTAAACGACAATGCCTTTTGAAAGCTAAATAAACTGTGCATTCATTTGAGCTTTAATTAAACGCTGTATTTGTGGAGCTTAGGAAATATTTGGAAATTTTAAATTTAATCTTAGTTTTAAATGTCAGCATTAAGCATTAGTGAAAATCAGCATTTGTGTGTTTCTTGTATTGATCCAAGCTAAAAAAGGATGGCTTGTACACAGTGGCCAGATCCTCCCTGTACAGCCACGTGTGGAGCTGTGCAGCACAGTGCCCCTCAGTTCATCTGAGGCTGGGGTAGAGTTCTGCTGGTAAAAATGCCAACTCTTCATGTAGGGATTGTAGCACCTCAGTAAGCTTAATGCTTACATGTAATTTAGCAGTAAAAATACTATCAGAAAATTATTATTACAGGCAAGAGAAATTTAAACGTTTTTTTCAGATTGATTGCTGAAAATAGTATCCAGTAACAATTGTGATTTTATGGCAGATTAATGATTTTGCACTTTTATTGTGTGTATCTATAGATGTGTGTGGGCATACCAAAGCAGTATCCCTATCTCAGTTTAATATCAACAACACTCTTACGAGTGATCAGCATTAACGATTTCCCAATAATGCTAACATCACATTTCTTTGCTCCTCAGCCAGTCAGTGAAACATTGGCTAATTTCTTATAGACTTCAGAGATGAAGGAAATTTTGGAGAATGCTGACTCTAGTTAGCATTTGTTACCAATAGGAAACATTGATTGGGTCTCTCATTTCTCCTGCCCAAAATCATTTCCAGGGTTTGTACCAAGGAAAAATAAAGTCTGTAGACTCTTGAATGGTGTACAGATCTGCAAGAGCTTGATAGAAAAGTTTGTTTCAATTTATAGTCCTTCAGTTTGAAAGGCAGTATTCCTTGTGGGTTTAAAGTGAGAAGCTAAAGCGGGCTTTAACAAAATTTATTCAAATATAGTTTTAAATACTGGGTGACTGCCACTGCCCCATTACAAATGCAATTTAAGTCTTTCATGCATATGAAGAAAATTGATGCAATTGTTCAGCTTATATAACTTTTTATTGTGCTATATGGTTTTTAAAAGTTCTATTAAAATCATACTGTTTATATAATAATTTATCTCTAACAGGTTATGGAAGACGTTTCATTTGGAACAGAGGGTCATTTATCTGAGGTAAGTGTTTCCTAGGCAGTATAAAGTGATGATATTGTACAGACTTTCTTTGTCTCAATTAAAATAAATGACACTTGTTTTTATCATGTTACCTTTGCTTAAAAATTGCTAGAGTGTGAGCACTTGGAAAAGCAACACAATCACAACTAGAGTATGCCCATTTCTTCTTTTCTTTTTTTTCCCATTGTAGATAATGGCATAATTGCTGAGTATTTCAGGGAGTTTATAGTTAAAACCTGTGCTAATATTTTAAACACATACCAAGAACAGGATGACCACACTGGGGAAAAGAAGAACCAGTAGAACCAATTTAGCCAGCTCCACTGTAGCACTGTCATGATGCTTAGGAATGGAACAAAATCATGATGCTTAGCCTATTTATTTGTGTGTCACTAAAAATACCTGTGAATCTATTTTTGAAGTGTAAAACCATACAAGTATACTGCAGCAGAATACATGGTAATAGGAGTTTCATCTAAATGAAAATACTAGATGTTTGTGATTTTACACCATTTTCATAAATTAAAAGATCTCAGAACTTGGTCCATGTATTTAAGAAAGCTGGGATAATTGGGTAACATGAGATGCATGGCCTATGAGAAAAACCTGCTTGCATACAAAAATCTGTCTACCTACAAACTAAGAGTTTAGGTAATATATGTGTAAGGAGAATTACTTTGGTTCTAAGAGCTGTACTGTTTCAGTCTGGTCCATTTTTATATCTGTATGCCTTGGGTTGCAGCTTACATAGTAAGGAAATTTCATATCCAAGCATTGTGTCCAGACAGCAAATAAATTACATGGACAAGTAACCCCCAGGTCACCTTCCATAACAGCATACCCGCCTTCTGTCAAGTACAATTGACAAGTGCTCCAAACCAGGCAAGTATTAAACAAATAAATATTAAAATTTAGGATAACTATTCAGATGAGGCATTTCTTTAGATTCCCACTGGTGAATCCAAAGAATGTGGAGCAGCTGGAATGCTCCAGGAAAGATAATCTAACTGCAGCACCCAGCTCGGATTGTTGACTTTGTGTTCAAGGAGACTGTGACATGAGGGCACACCTAGGATAGACTGCTTGACTGTGTGTGAGTTCAGCATAAATAAAAACAGGAAGCCTTGAGAATGAAGGTGAACTTTGCAGAAAATGCAAATGGCATTTCTGATCAGTGAACTTTGCTGTGAAATATGGATAAACTGTGTGGCTGCTTGTGTCCACACATGACATGAAATAGGGGCAGGTAAGCCTGTGGGACAAAGGCAGCGAAAAGCCCTGCTGGCATCAGGGCGAAATACTGAGGGCACCAGAGTTCACAGGTATACGGGGCTGCCACTGTAGAAGAGCTTAATATCTTACAGTCCTCAGAGGCAGAGACACTTTTGAAGTTTTGACAGAGGGGGACAAAAGTGCATGAGGAGAATATAAAGCAACAATGGAAATAAAAGAAAAGGAAATATGCTAGAAAGCCAGGCTCTACCACACTGCCACAGCTGGACTGATGGTTACTTGTGGAGAGCTCTCCAGAAAGCTCTGTGAAAGTGTCAGCAGCCTGTACCATGTCAAGGTTTTGCCTAAATCTACCTTTGGTGCTCTGGTCCCCTAATTTGCACAGGTCAGTCTCCCTGCTGCTGCAGGAGAGCACCCAGTTAGTCATTCCAGATTGTTGCATCTTAATGACTTGGGAGCAGAGATGGGAATGAACAATACTAGGAACCACCTATAAATGAAACACAGATATACTGACTCCTTGCACAGCAGGGTGTGGACACAGGAAAACAGTTTGGTACTTCTGTTTCTTTTTCCAAGTCCTGACCCACTGTGAATTTTTATTGGGAAGTCAGTAAATAGCCTCATCCTCCCGCAGCAGGAGCTGGAATTGTCCCAGTGTAATTAAATGAGCCAGTGCAGTAGTGTGCTCTCATTTTAGAAAGTCTGTAATTAGGGAAGATCTTCAGTCTACTAGGGATGAGAACAGGAAGACTGCTGTCAGGCCACAGCAGGGTGCTGGAAGGCAGTGAAAAACTCTATTCCTGCAGAGATGCTTTTCCAGGGACACTCCTCTGCAGCTGTAATGGAAGATACACGAAGGGAAGAATTGCACACGTCGGACTGTAATTCTGATGAGTCATTTAACATTCCCATGTGGAGAAGGGAAGGGGATTGGTGCAAGCAAAGGGAGTGTGGGAAAAGCATGTGATGGTGGAAAAGAGGTAGGTCACAGCTAGCTGGAAGGCTTTATGCCTAAATTGTTGCATATGAGAAAGTAGGGAGTGTCATAGTGCTGAAGTCTCTTAAATATATATAGCCATGCTGATGGAACAAGCGAGGAGTCTGTAAGTGGAAGGTGATAAGAGCAAAAGTAATTGGGAAACAACCTTGATCCCTCTTCGAGAAAAGTTAGATAGCTATCTCAATGAAAAAAAAGCTCATCTAAACAAAATCAGGGAAGCAACAGGGCAGTTTCTGTGGGACAAACCCTGTAGGAGGAGGAATCAGCAGATATTCTTTGGTACTGTCCAGAAGACATCAGGTTTGTAGTACATCACCATCTTCTTTTGGTGCAGAAAAGTACAAACACGGTGACAGACTACATATCTACGTCAGCAGTTTTTCAGTGGCTTTAAAGTTTTGACATGGGGAGGACAAAGGTGTTTGTAAGAATGAGCCTAGAAGGGTACTGCACGGTGAAAGTGTGAAGCAGCAAGACCCCTGAGCACACTAAGCTATATTAAACAGAAGACCTATGATATGGCAAGGGAGTTCAGGGATATATTGGATGCAAGGGAAGGGTGAAAGAAAGCATGTGTGTCTTCCAATAGGAAAGGTGAATGAAAAAATAAATGAGATCAGAATTTTTTTTCCTTCCTTATTCTCTGTGCTTTTGGTCTTCCTGAAGATTATAAGCTACGTCCAATTACGTAGTGCTCCTAGTATTCACTAAAGGTAGCAAGAGACAAATGCAGTAAAAGATCCAAAGGCAAATGAGATGTACTCAAGTCAGGCTGGACTGATGAAATTTCTCCTGAGCACATAGGAGCCAAGAAAAACAATCTCCAAACCATTAACAAGCTCCTTTGAAAACTCCTAGAGGAAGCTTGAACTCCCGAGGGATCAGTAAAGGCAGACTTTGTGTTTGCCTTTAAAAAGGAGGTAGGCCAGGAGTTTATGTGCCAGTCAACATCATTTCAATTAGGATTAGAGTTCCAAATGGTCTTGATAGATTGAAAGAATAGTCTGAAATCAATAAGAAGGGATATATGGAAAGACAGGTGCAAATTACATTTAAGGGAGAAAAAGAGTCGGATTTCTGTATACAGATGGTAAATAGCAGCTGAGTTGACAATACTGCAGAAGAAGAATCTAGGTTTATAGTGGACTACAAATATAGTGGGATTCATTACCTTCATTGTGTTGGAAGAAAGGGCAAATGTCATTTTCAGCCTCATTACTGGGAATGTCAGTTATAAGACAGAAATAATTACTGTGCTTAGCTGAGAATGCCAAAGCCTCTAGAGGACTATAGCTCTAGTCTGGACACCTCCCTCTGTAGAAGACAGGAACATAGTGAAGAAAATAAGGAAAGGAAGAGAAATAAAAGGTTTAGAAATCCTAGTCTGGTTGAAAGTCAAAGCCTTCAACCACATAAAACATAATGATATATATTATGACTATTAGTTATTGTTGTGTGCTACGTAAGGGTAAAACGGAATGTAACCATCTTGGTTTGTAGCAGGAAGAAAACCTGCTCACTGCAAGGGTACTTTAGCCCTGGAGCAGTCTGTACCCTGCAACCAGAATGACCAGATCCCATGTCAGCTGCTAGGAGCCATGCATGCAGACACCAGCTGAAGACAGTCACAGCAGGCTTGGTCACTGCAAGTCACAGAGCAGGCTCTGACAGTCCCTGGCTGCTTCCTGGGCAGCCTTGCCATGATGGTGTTGGTCATGAAGAACATGTATTGTTCTCAGTGGCCTTCTTCATCTACAACAGCTGCCCAGGACAATGCACATGGGGCAGGAAATCTGGGATGCAGAGAAGGAACAAATTCTTTTGTTTGTTCCTCTCCTGCACTGTGGTCACTTCATGGCCATACAGCTCGTTTATCTCAAGGCATGTGCACTTAGCCGGCATGTGACTGAAGCATCTGCTCAAGCAGGACAAGTATGGATGGTTGCATTTTGTTTCTAGTAATTATTTAAGATATGTTGTGGCCTAACATTCTGGAGTTTCAAGTGCTGACAATTACCATTAAATTCTGCAAGGGTTGAGGGTAAACATGCAGCATCTGCCAACTGTAGATCACTGCTCTAAACCTTGTACCATAATGTGAAGTGTCTGCCTGCAAGGGCAACATTTTTTAGTTGTTATTTATGTTACTTTGAGTTGTTTTAACTATTATATGGGAGAGAATGTTTAGTGCAGGTTAAAGAAATCTGGCTTTGACTCTGCAGAAGAAGTTCTAAAGCTTCTCTTTTATTTGGATTATGACATTGATGCTTGGAATTTAGACAGTGCCCTTTTACAAAAGTTCCTCTGTAGGAAGAATGAATTTTAAGGATATATCTGGAATCCTCCTTCTCAGCACAACCACCAAAGACTCTAATATAGACCCTAATCCCAAATAGAATTAAATTAATCTAGCTACTACAATACCAGTTCTCCCATATAAAATTGCTAAACAAGAAGAGCATAGGATGGAAAAGCTGATCAAACATTTTCGTCAAGTAAAGAGCCTCTGCTCTTGATTCAATATGCTGATGTTACAGCAGTGCATTAGCTGGAATTTTGTCTGTTTTTACTGTTTCTTGTGTCAGACTTTCACATCTTTGGGAAAGAATGAGAATTTCTACTTTGTCTGAGAAGCCAGAAGAATTGCACCTTAAAAATTAAATCACACCCATATTAGTGCTGTTTTCACCTGCTTAAGGATTTAGAGGGGAAAAGAAAATCCCAGCCAGCTACATTCGCTGTTCACAGAAAAATCCATAAAGCAATATTGCATTTCAGCTGTCTCCTGACTCCTGCAATCTCTCCCAGCTGCCTCCTAAAAATGCTGTTAGAGCAAAAATAGCCGAAGTCTTCAGACTTACAGCATCTTGTAGCATTGACACAACCTACAAGCTTGGATGAGTTGTATTTTATGAATAAGTTGAGCTTGAGGCAAAGTCCACTTTCCTCTCAGAGATATTGTTGATCAGTGTAAAGTGCCACTTTCCAACCAGGAGCTGTTCTGAATAGTTTGTGTATCACTGCCAGGGGTTTTCCTGCCTACATAGAGAAATGTCAGATAAAAGTGCTACCAATGATGTTACCAGGCATGAAAGTCAGTAAGAGAAATCTTTTCTATCTACTTCTCTGGGCCATCAAACCTTTTTTAAATGAGGGCTTGGAGGCAGAAGCTGTGGAATTGGTTGAATAGTTATTATTGTTGTGTATTTTTGAGAGCACTGTATATTTCTTCCATTTCCATTTTCATATTTATTTATTTATTCATATAAATTCTGGAAAAATAATAATTTATATGGTGGTTCTCCTACATTTTTCACATGACACCTGCAAGTAAATTCCTGGGAGTTGATGCTTGTCTAAGGTGTTGGAGGAACTTCTCATTTCAACTAAAAAGGCAGCTGGGTTGTGTTGGTGCAGAAATAGTTCATTCATACGCTATTATGGCTGTAATAAAGAGAAATTAAGCTGCATTATTGGGATTTAATGACTACTTAAATATAACCTCAATCTTATAGAGCTATTTTGGTTACTCTGAAGTGCAACTGTAGTCATTTAGTTACAATAAAATTGCTTTCAAGTGTTCAAAGACCTAAACAAGTTTGATTGGACTTTTACACTCTTAGATTTCCTGCCTTTCCATATTGTTATTACAATTGGTTACACTTGCCTAATATTTATTGTTCCTTTACTTTTATTTCCAAAGTAAACAGGATTTTGCTACATCTTTAGACAATGCATTATGTATCCAAAATGTGATCGTTCAGGAAGAACACCCTGCGTTTTTCTGTGTGCAGAGCTTTCTCTATGTGGTCATAATTTTAGATGTGCTTTCAGAGTACTTGTTTGGGTTTTTTTCAATATACTGATTTGTTTAGCCTGAGACCTATGTTCTCATGGACAGCTGTCATCTGTTCTTGCATATATGTCACAGAATGATTCCCTAACAGCTTTCCACTGATATGAATGGCCTGGGTTGTCCCACTCCATAACAGCACATGTAGTCCTGCTGGTATGCTGGATAATAATTAAGTAGCTGGATGGAAGACTTTTTCATCTTCTGTTGCTGATCTTCAGAAAAAGACATTCCTAGTTGCTGCAAGGAGAATGTTAATTTTCTCTTCCTATGTTCTCACTGTAAAAACAATGTTTTGTTTTTTTTCACATCCATACATTCTGTGGAGTGCTGCTGTAGGTTCTTAGGTTTGGTAATGCCTGGAAGTGCCCGAACTCTGCCATTGTGCTCCTTTGTGTCTGAGCTGCAGGGGTTTGCAGCTCTTAACCAACCTACCCATCCAGGGGCTGAGCTGCAGCTGGTCCCAGTGGGATCTGCTGGACAGCCGTGTCTGGGAAAGGCCCAAGGGCAGCAGGAAGGTAAAACTCTGTGCCATAACAGAGGATGTGTCAACAAGCAGAGCTCTTCTGGCATTTGACTCTGTATGCAATATACTTGTGATGCAAAGTGAAAGGGTAGCACCCAACTGAGATCTGGTAAATGTGTTCACCAAAACTCAAATTGTTTCACAATGGGCAGCATTTCAAAAAGTATTAGCATGATTTCTTTGGAAGGCCTTTGACTAAAGGTTTGATTTCTCTTATACCACCACTGGTGTCTTATAGCAACAGATAAATGCAAAGAACCCCAAATACTTTTTTCTTTCGGGAGAAAAATTTTCTGTAGATAGTATATGGCCACATTAGAAGCCGGCTTTATTAACACAGACTAGGTCTAGCAACAATCCAGTTTTCTGGATTCCAGCTGATGAATTACTCTCTTTTTTTTAACATGGTTCCAGCAGAAGTTCATCTTGGCACCATAGTATTTTTTTACAAATAAGCCCTGTCATTACTGTAGACAGCACTATGGTGCCATGGGAGGAAGAGGAAAGGCTTGTCTCAGAGCTGCGCAAATTGATTGATTTTTTTTTCCCCTTTTCTCATATTTACTGCTTATTTGGGTCATTTCTCAAAGTAACACTCAATGCAAAATATAAAAATAGCAATTACCCTTGTGCAATGTATCTGAAAAAACTTATGAGAAGGACTTTGAAGCTAGTTTAAAATACTCAGTTTAAAATAGACAAAGTATTTGCCTGTGTAAGTTCTAAGTAGAGAAGCATTCTTTTTGAAAATTTAGTATTGTTTCATGATAACTCAGAAAAAAAAGTGCAGTTTCATCTTGTAATCTCAAAAGACTTTTATATATTTTCTTTGATTGCTTGAGCAAAGTCTCCAAGTACTCTAGCCAGATTTTTCTTCAAAAGTATAAGTACATTTTACGTGTGTAAGATTTACCAAAATGTTGCTGCTTGAAATATTTACGTGACCTAAATGTATAAATCATATTTACGTGAACAACTTGAAATTTAGGTGCCTTAGTGGGTGGTTAGCATGAGACTTCCCTCCCCTGCTGTGATGAGACAACAGGAGGGAAGGAGAGCAGTTCAGAGTAGCTGTCTTCAAATGCCTTTAATCATCTGCTGGAAGTGAGATTGTGACTTTTTTTTCTGCTGGGAAGAAGACTGAGACCACAGACTCATTCCATTCCATATTAATCAGCAATTTATTATATAGGAACAGCTTTTTGTCTCTCTATTGGGAATTTGCTTTTAGGCAATGTCTTTGTGCTGCAAAGTATAATATCCCCTTACTAATATTTTATTTTCCCTTTAATTTGATGCAAATTTGATGTGGAAATGTGCAGTCAGCAGCAAACATGCTTTCCTTTATTTTTCAACTTTCTGCAGGAGTTCTTCATATTTTCTGCAGCGTTGGGAGAAAAATGTGAAGCAATAAGTGAGAAACTGGTGCATCTGGAAGATCAATTGCAAAGTTCTGCCTGCAGAGTTGATGAAGGAGTTCTTCATATCCTTTTCGCTATAGCTATAGATACATATCAATCTCTGTAAGTATGCACATGGGATACTTGCCTTTCAGATTCACGTGGAATGCTAGTTCTTAGTGTAGGTTAGCTACATTAAGAATGGGAGAAAGTATTGTCTCACTGAAATGGGCATTTTTGTGTAGTAAGTCTTCCTGTAGTGCATTTTCACTGTAGTCTGATCCAGCTTTAATTGATTTAAACAGAAATCAGTTCTTTGGAAATTAAGATTGGGCACTGAAAAGCCTTTATTTTACTGTTGTTCGTAATGGTCATATAATTAAATACGTAGTGCATCAAAAGCTGCATAAATCCAAGTGTTCATGCACCTGCATTTCCCAACATTATTTAGCTGAATTAGATGCTACATTATTGACTCAGACTGTGTATATTGTCACCTGTAGTTTGGAGATTTTTCTTTTTTTAAAAAATGGGCAACAGATGCATCATGTGGCATCCTACACATTTTAATCTGCCTCTAACACTGCAATGCAAGTAACCAGATGAGATACTGTCCTATGCACACTTCTGTCCTTTACCTGTCAGTTTTTCTGAAGATTGCTTAACCTTTATGTGGAATTCTTTGGCCGTTTTTCAAAATTTAAGAGCACAAAGGCTTTTTTCATTTGTAACTTAAATAGGAAAAATTTTCATAAAAGAGATTTTGTTCCTCTAAGAAAAGGTAAAGAAAGTAAGAACCAGTGAAGCTGAGAAAGATGAGAATACTGAGCTGGTTAGGTTTTGGTAGAAGTGCCAGTGAAGAGAACCATGAAGAAAAATATATATGTTCAAGGTGCAGAGATTAGCAGAGGAGCCCTTGGAGCCATCTGAAGGTGAGTAGGGGTAATGATGGTGCTAGAAAAGATTCAGTATGTGCTAAGAGAAGGTAGACAGTCCTGCAGAGGATAGTTTAGAGAAAGGAGAATAGTGTGTGGAAATATCACTGTGTTTTAAGTAATTGGGCATCTATTACAAGTCACTGCAAAATTCCTATCCTAGAAACTTGGTTTCTTTAAAGGTAACAGAAGGATAAAGTGCGAGGGGCAGAGGGGAGTAAGAATGGTGCTGGGGGAAGAGGATTTGCATCAGAGGAGAGAAATCCAGTCAGTAATTTGTCACTACTTTAGATGTTTCTTTCCTAAGCCTTTCCATATACACTCAATATACAGAAAGATTATTCAACATTCTTTTCATTATAGTTGCAGTGTTCATGCTTAGTTGCAGTTGTGTTTTCCCAATGCATTTTTTTCAGAGCAGTATGGACGTATCTTGAGTGTATGTGTGTGTGCAGAGCATCCAATTCCTTTCTCCCCTGAGTATATTTATTCTCAAATGAGCTTTCTTAATGGCCCTTGTACAAGAACTCTGAGGGTAGGAGTTACAGATTCTTTGCAGGGGACTTAAGTTACTATTCAAACTGAACAGTCACGGCTGATCATCATTATACTTTACTAGGTAAGGTGAAATTAAGCTAGAAAAGTGCATTTTTTGTTCCAGAAGATAGTACACTACATATATGTGAAATAGCAGTGTTTCTTATCTTCTATGGAATGTGCCTATTTCTTCACAGCTGCTGGCACTGCAAGAGTAAGTTAAAAAATAGAATTAGTAATTGGAAATTTCAGGAGAGTTGTAGATCACTCTCATTTTGAGCCACAGTTTTCTGATAGAGATCTGACTTCCTCTATCAGTGAAATTCAGCTCATGTTATCTAAATACAGAAATGCACAGTGTGTGATATCCTGGTCCTAGAAAGACCATCAGTCACAAAATACAAAACCATGTTTAAAACATAGGGACGTACAAAGAAGCAGTTCAGCAATTCAGCTACCCTTCATTAACATTCAGTTGCTATTTCAGAGGTAGTCCAGGTCAATGTGCATAAAATGTTACCATCTGGTACATGTAATCACTGTGCTGTACTTCAGAAAGGAATGAGAAAAATAGCTACCACAGTGCTACAGACCTGTAGATTTTTTTTAATATATATAAAGACTGCTCAGTGCCTATAAAATTAGCTTTCACTCATTGGTAACTTGCCCGTATTGCAGGAACTAGCACTAAGATGAGACAATTAGCCTCAGTAGTAGAATTTATTTAATAGATGAATCTGTTGTTTGCATGGTAATCTCTTTGATTTTAGATAAAACAATTTCCTATCAAGGATACTGGACAATTATGCAGTCTTCATTAAAAGCCTGTAGAACTCTGAGAGCAGGAGCTTAAAGACCTGAAATACTAATGAAAGCAGGATAGATTTTTCCAAGTTCTTTCAGTGGTTGTTTTCACCCTTCCCATATTCCTCCTAAAACATTGCCTTACACATAAATGTTACACAATGTATTAGGCCAAAAATGTAACTGGGGCCTTCACAGATGTAGTTAGTCCTGTAGTCTGATTATTAAAACTTCCAAAGACTCCACTGAGAAAAATAAATTCCTGATGCTCTCGAGCCATTTGCCAATGTTTAGTGTGTGTCATAGCTTTGATTAATAATTAAGTTTGTAATAGAAGAAAAAAACCAGATGTCATTGTTTTTTGTTCTATGTTTTGATGGCATAGCACACTTAAGTCTGCTGCTCATCGTAAGTGCCAGCACAACCTGAAAAAAGGAGAAATGCTATGATATTTCTTGGCCCTGAGTATAGGCACAGACCGACTTGCAATTCTAATTTATTGTTTAAATCTTATAAAAAACCCCACTTCTATATAAAAAGCATCAAACAGTAGGGGCCTGGGAGTGGATGTTAGAGTTCTCTGTAGCACTATGACATATTTGCTAAATTCTATGTAGTATAACCAAATAAACCTACAAAATATTCAATTATGGTTGATCATTAATGAGTGTATGAAAACACTCCACATCATTAATTGGAAAAACCAAAGGATGAGAGGTGACTCATTATGGTGTCTGCAGAGCTGATGAGAGGTGTTACTTTCCTGACAGTAAAGGCCTGGAATTCCCACTAAAATTAAATGGAGCCTATATTGCAATTTCACAGTCATTTTTTGTTCTTAATTAGTAGTTACATTTTGGTAGACAATTTGAATGCATATAATAGTTCCTCTTGGTGGAAATGCTTTGCTGGAAGAAAACCTGGCTGTAGTATTATGGCAGTATTATTACAAAAACAATCTTCTTTCCTTACCCTAAAATGGGCATTTTAATCAGCTTTTGGAAAGCAGAATTTTGTGCCTAAAACATTCATTAAATGTCACAGGTCACTTTGCTAACCCTTCACCTTTATCCTGCATCAGGCTCCCATACAAGTCTTGTTTTACACTAGAGCAGATTTTCAACAGTCATGTAAAATTTAGCCCTTTCTGTAGCTCAGTGAGGAATCTGGGTGAATGTAAGAGATTTTGGGATCCTCCAAGAGTCAGAGGTGGCAATGGCACCCTCTTTGATTTTATTTTAGATGACATAAGGATGAGCTCTTCCCACTGTGTGTCACACAGAGAACATGGTTCCACTTGAACAGTTTATGCTGTGACAGAGGTAGGTCAGTGTATTTCCACCCAGGTGCTGTAACTTCTTTGCCTTCCATTTTCTGCTGGAACAAACAATTTGAAAGTAGCTGATATTCAGACCACTGAAGGGTTCCTTTTTTCAATGTGTAGCAGTGATTCTGTTGCAGTTTTTTGTTTAGTACTGTTTGGGGGAGTATTTGGGTTTTGCATGGGAGAGATATTATCTTAGTTTATAGAAATAACATTCATGGGTGACAGTAATCAAGGGGGTAATTGAGACTATTCCAGTTGGTTGCACTACTGCAAATATCCCTGTATTTTGTAAGGAGAAGTGATGGATTTCCAAAGGCCATTTTGCTCTCTTGCTGTGACAGCACACAGGCCTCACAAACAGTAGGGACTTGCTTAGTGTCTTTCCTTTGCTCCGAGAGTGCTCTTCAAAAAGGCCAAATGCAAGTTATTCAAAAAACTTACTGAATTGTCTTGGCTCTTCACTGGTCCTTTGGCATGCAGCACACTCAGTCAAAGAACTGTTTCATTGGAAGTGACCTTTTGAGATCATCTGGTCCAACTCCCTGCTCAAGCAGGGTCACTAGAGGAGGTTGTCCAGGATGCTGTCCAGTCAGATTTTGAATATCCCAAAGGATGGACACTGCACAACCTGATTGTGCAAAATTGTCCAGTGTTTGACAACCTTCAAACAAAAATCCCATTTCCATGTATTCAGATTCAATTTCCTATTTTGGAATTTCTCCCTGCTGCTTCTTGTTCTGTCAGTGGACAAAAAAAAGTCAGAAGAGTCTTCTTCATTCCTGCCTTTCAGCTATTTATACACAGCAGTAGTAGCCCATGAGCCTTCTTTTCTTCAGGTTGAAGAGTCCCAGCTCTCTCAGCATCTCCTCATGTGATGGATACTCAAGTCCATTAAACTGGTCCTGTGCTGGAGTCATTCCAGTAAGTCCTCTTTTATTGTGGAACCCCCAACATCCAGATGGGACCTCAGCAGTGCTGATTAAGGTGGAAGGATCATGTCCCTCTGCTTGCTGGCCATGTTAATTCAGCACCTTTGCCTCAAGACATGCTGCTGGTGTATGTACAGTTTATTGTCCACCATGACCTTAAGGTCCCTTTCTGCAGAGCTGCTTTCCAGCTGGCTTAGCCCCTCCATGGGTGCTGGTGCCTGGGGTTAGGAGTGACACTTGCAGTTAGGTGGTAGGACATTGAGCTGAGCTTCTGTCTGCAGCCACCGTAGAGTTTGGCTTTTGGAAACAAGCAGAATAGTTAACCAGGTTAAAAGCAAGAAAAGACCCAACCAAAAATTGCTTTTTGATTATTTCTAGTTCTTGAAGAACAATTTCTTCTTCAGATGTCAAAAAATGCAGTTACTTTCCAAAATCCCATTGGCCTTTATCTCAGAGCAGTAGTAGTCCTTCGTTGTCCTTCCAATGTATTTTATCTTATAATATGTACTCTTAGTTTCTAACCTTTCCTAGAGGAAGGCAGCTGATTAACAGGATCTTCTTTTTGTCTCTTTTCCCTAAACCTCTTGGCTGAGAGATCAGAAGCTGCATTTGAGCAAAATGATTCCATTTTTCCCAAAACTTATCTCTACTGTAATTTGATCTGCTTTTTATCTGCTTGCAAATCACGGGCTCTGAGATGATGCTCAAGTTTTTCAAAGAGACAAAGTCAAATAGATGAAAAGCTTCAAGCAAGGCAATGTTAGACCTGCAGCATTGTTGAATATGGGTTGCATTTGTGTGAATATGAGTTGTACTTGTTCCCAAGTACTTTAATTTACTACTTATTTGACATTGTGGAGATTTTTTCAGTTTTCAGGGGAAGACAGCAGAACCAGAAAATATTCCTAGTTGGAACTTGTTTTCACTCCTGCCGTGGATACTGGCTCAATATTTGCAGCACTGGATACAGAATTTAAGCATGAAGGACACATTTGCATGTGGGTGCAAGCAAAACTGTTTCTTTGCATTTTTAAAATGGGTGAAGCTGTTTATCCAGATATAACCTCTGTGTGGATAGAGATGCCATGCTCAGCCATATACCATATATTTGTCTTAGCCATAAAGGCTAAGTTGACAGTTACTTGTCTACATATGATTGTGGTGTTATTTATGAGGTTATTGGAACTTGCTGTACTTAAACAATGCAGTCATCTTTTTTTTTTTGCTCTATCTTTCTGTTGGTTAACAGGTTTTTTTTTTCCTGTCTTCCTCATTTTCTTCCATCCTTTAAGATTTCTCATTCACTTTCACTGAAACATTTCAATTTTGCTTTTTCTCTCTACCTGAAAAGAATTTTGTAATTGACTGAGATATTGCAAGTAACAGCATGTAGTCAGAGGCTACATATCAGAATTAATTAAATGTCAGAAGGTTTATGGTGTTCATGAATTGAAGAATTTATGTTTACCAGTTAGGTTTTCAGCAGAGCCCCATGATTAAGGTGCAGAGGGGTGGAGAATCTAGGACTTAGAAGATGATAATAATATTTCTTACTTAGAGAAGATGCAAAGCATAATTAATTTGTCCTTGTACAGTGCTTTGTGATCCTGGGATAGGATAAGCTTTGTGTGTACTGCTACTACTTGTAATCAGAGACAGAAGCCCTTTAGATTAACAGAGCTGTCCAGAAATTAGAAATATGCATGAACATATTAAGAGCAAAATATAAAAATGCATGTAAATACACAAAGATGAAATTTTGAGGAATTGGTAACAGAATCAAAAGCAGCCAAGACTTTTCAAAGACATAATAATTGCTACCTGGAAGAGCTGTGGTTGGTATAGCTTTACCATGGTCTAGTCACAATTTTTCAAAAGTAGCAGCTTAGTTTTTACAGTTCACATAACCTGAGGCCATCTTTTTTCTTGACATTGCATTTACATTGGGGTCAAGTAAAACAACATTTCCTAATGTATGAGCTCTGCAAAGGATAAAGACTGTCCTTTTGCATTATCTTTTCTGTGTGTTGTACTTTTGAAACTGAATTGTTTCAGTGTCATCCTGTTTCACTTCCATTGAAGTGAGGTTCTGGCATAATTTGGTGATACACTGTGAGAAATGAACCAATTTCTGTCTTTTGGGGTCTTTGCTCTTCAGGCATACCTGTCCAGGAAGCCTCAGTGGGGATGGGATAGGCCCTAGGGTTTGTTCATAGACTTGGTCATTTCAGCAGGATCTGACTTGCCTCTGCTTGCTTTCTTCTCCACACAGAGTAAGCTATAGAATAGAGGATAAAATTGGTTGTCTCATTGAGCTGCACCCGGTCCTTGCACTTCTTCCAACAATGGATAGTGGTGCTGATTTAAGATTATCAGCAGAAAGGCCAGTATATTAGTAGTACAAACTTATTCTCAGTCAGAGCACATAAAGCTGTACTGCCAAGGAAGCCTAGCCAGTTAAAGGCTTGTGCATGTGTCAATATTTGCTACTCTCTCTGTGAATGTCTTACCTTCATCTGCAACTCTGTTCTGTGCTGCACCCCTTGTTGCCCCCACCTGACACCTTCCTCTTGTCATTGTGGATGGGGCTGGGGAAGGAGGGAAGTGGAAGGTCTCTTTCTAAGCCATTGACCATCAGTTTCTTCCTGAATTCATTGCAGGAACCCTGAACTAGACAGAGAAAAAATAAATGTGGAAAACTCTTTCTTAACCAAATGATGCATTTCATACTAATTATTGGATACTTGTCAGGTGGCCTTCTTCGTTTTTTATGCACAACATTACGACCCTATTACTGCCCTCTGTGCTTTTCAACTTGATCAAACATTCCCTGTGGAGTCTTGTATAGCTTTATCTTTGTGTGTTCTGCACTATAATTATAATGATAACTCAGCAAACATGAAAGCTCTCTGGAGGTAAGTGTAGCAGAAACACTTTCTCTGCTATAAGCTAATTTTCCTCCTTAAGCTCTTTATTACCTAGATTCCCACCCCAGCTTGCATAGCACACGTTGAGCTCACTAATGCCACACAAGCTGTGGTCACTTGGCATTTGTTTCAGACAGCTCCTGCTGCCCTGTTGCCTTCACCTGGGATCTGATCCACCCAGGTCTGTGTCTCTGGTGTAAAAACCCACCCTCCATCCACCAGGGAGCTCACACCTAGTGCTGCTGCATCCATGACACTATTTTTTCTTTCTCCTTCCTTCCTATGAGAACGGTATCCAAGCAGTATCCCCCATCCCCTCCCTTTTTTAACTGCTAAATAATGCTACTTGAGAACTTGAGTTTTTTCTTCTGCTAGCAAGTGTGAGAAATGTATTAATATTTAATCCAAACAATTTGGAAGAAGTTGAAGCTACAATTAGATAGCCATGGCCATCTGTTGTGAACAGCAGAACAAGAATGTACTTAATAACTTGGAAAGAGAAAAGAGACTGCCAATCACCTATAGATTATTCCTTAATAAAGCTTTCACAGTCTCTGCAGAGGGAGATCCAGGTGGTGAAGGAGACACTCCAGACCGTGCTGGTGCAACTTCAGTCAGCCAAGGAGGCAGGAGAAGAAAAGGCTGGAGACTTCCTCTGTGACAGCTGGTGTCCAGAAAAACAAGACTTGAAGGAATAATGAGCAGAAAGAGCTGGTAGGATGACATTAATTCACAAAGGGCTGCTTTTAGTAACTGAATACTGTTTTACTAAGCCTCAGGGATCTCTTCTCTCCCCTGCATAACTAATAACTAAATCAATTATGGAGAAACAGAGCCTGGAGGTCTATCATCAGAAGTATGCTACGCAGCCTCACATGTTTTGGCACAGATTGGGAAACAGCTTTCAGAGCAGAGCAGCTCCTGTAAATGTGTAGATTACAAATTGATACATTTCAAGTGAGTCTGCAAAGTTGCCTTTAATGTCAGTAAAGTGTTCTCCTTGAAGGCTCATAAACACTGTCTTCCTCTACTCATGGATTTTTTTTCCACCCCGATTTAAAAATGCAGCATTAAAGCTGGAACATCTAGTATTTCTTGGAAAATAGCTCTAAGAATAATAACTTTCTTTTTCCCCCTTTGGCTTTAAAGCTTTCTTACACTGAATGTATTTTCACATTCCTGCCAATAATTAAATCAATAGGGTGAAATTCAAGCTAACCAAGTTCTTTCAACTGAAATTTGGACCTCATTTTCTCTGTGGTATTAAGTACAGTGGAGTTAACTAACAGCAGCCCCTATAGGAGTAGTTTAACTCAATTTATTTAGGTATTATTATAAACTTTTAGTATTTCAGGGGTTGTTAAGCAAAAAAAAAAAAAGGAAAATCCTATGTTGATGATTGATATTGCTTATATTTAAATATTGTATGAACAATAAGTCATTAAAGTCTCATTGTAACGACTACCATTACTTTGATCTTCCTTGTAAACTTCAGAAGGAATGCAGATTTTTTTTGCAAGGCACGTATGTCAATAGACACACATGCATAGATAAACATGTATTCTTATAGGAAATAAAAGCAATATTTAACTGAAGCCAAGTGGATAATTGTTCAAAAGAATTAATGTCTTCAAAAATTCACATGTACTGCTTTGATACCAGTATATCTCTGATACCATAAAAAATTCTGCTGCAGAGGGAGAATTAAAAAAAAAAATCTTGATTTAAAAAAATACAATAAAAAGTGTCTTGCAACTCAGTACTGTACTCTTTTGATAATGTTTTTCTGACATTTTTAGAATTACTCTTCTACATCAATTAATCATTTTATAGCCATGTTGTGTTTTTGCAAATTTTGAAGGTCATTGGACCACTTTCCCACTAAGATCCTGTTTATTTTTTGTGTGTTTTAGTGCTAGTTGAAACTTCTACCTCAGTGTTAAGTACAGAAGGAGGGAGGAAAAAAGGTGCCAGGCAGCTGAGACATACAACAGGATTATAATTGCCTCCAGGACCATATGGTTGTCAAACCAGGGCAGCAGAGCTCAGGTGGTTTCTATACTCATCAGATCCTGTAATTCAGAACATGGTTGACTTTTCTTATTGAGTAATATACTTCTTATTGAGTAATATACAGGCCAGCATCCAGTCTTGGAGCTCCAGCTTGCATGGACTCTGCTACTCAGTTCCCTAATGGAGAACTCTTGCTGTTCTGCTTGACAATTTTATCCCTCCATGTCCCTGTTAAACACCTACCTCCTCACCATAGCTGTGGCGCCCCTGAACAGATGAACAAGGTGTTTGCCTCCACCTCGAGGCAGGAGACAAGTGCAGGTGGCACCTTGACATTCAGCCCACGCCAGAAATCACTCTTGGAAGCCCACATGAGTTCAGGTAAACAGGAAAGAGAGCACACTGACAAGATACAGCTCTTAAAGCTTTCTTTAACACCCATAGAAGCTCCCTGGGGTTCAATACCACAGAGGGCCCAGGCAATGCATTTCCAGCAAGGAGCATTTATATAGGACCATGAGGACAGTCCAGAGATGAGGGCCAGTACACTGAACTAAGACTATATGACACCCCACTCTCCCATCCTGTGGAGTTTTGTCCTTTGAATACTTAGTGCCTGCAATGTAAAGAGTTGTCAGGCCCTAGAAGTGCCTTAGAGCCAGGATCAGCTGTAGCTGAACCATCAAGTCTGCCTCCTTACAGCAGCAAGGGCTCAACAACAGGAATAGGACCCAGCCATCACAGGGACAGGAGAACAGAATGAGAACCTTCATTCCCCCTAGAAAGGTTTCTTGAAGACATTCTCATTCAATTAAAAAATGTGTGGCTTTTGTGTTTCAAAGCTTCAGAGCACCACTGCATTTTAATAAAAACTCAACTTAGGCAACCACTCTAATAAGACACTGAATTTCTAAGGAGAAGGGAAATTGAATCAGTCATCATTCATGCTATTTTTGTATCTGTTAACATCTATTTTATATGTAACTACTACTTCTTTAATTTATTGTTCCATTAACTTCACTGCTTGTTATTGGAAGTTAGAGCCAGTTACCATCCCTTTTTCTCAGACACATTTGATAATAAGCATACTTTTAAAAAAGGGTATACTATGCATGTATCAACTGCCTTTTATCTGTGAATAGAAAACTTTCAAATAAAGAGAAGTATGTTTTTAACTAACCCAATGCCTGTTTGCATTCTGTACAGTGTTCAACATTTTAGAAATTTCATCATGGGGAGTGGAGCAGAGAAAAGGAGAAAGAAACCATGTGTGTGACTATTATTGTGCTGCTGACAGCAGTAATTCGTCTGCTTGGGGTAGCCTGTTATACCTTTTGAAAGCAGTCTAAAGACAAATTCAAGACTAAAGTCTGACAGCAACATGTAGCTCTTTTCAGTACAAGAGGGAGAAATAAGTATCACACAGTGAACTGTACACACAGGTAAAACCAGCACTTGGGTCCCAGCTTGACTCAGTCCTGCTGTGCAACTGAATCCTGCCTGCCCTCCCTCAGTTCCTCACCCATGGATCAGGGCTGAAGGATGAGCAGTGTGACTCTGCAGTGCCTGCAGCAATATCCGAGGTCAAAGTTATGCTCTTACACACATTAATTGCCACGATGAGAGGTAGGAGAGTGTATATGGTGTCCCAAAGACCAGTTTCATAAATCCTTGCTACAATTCTCAGTTCTGGGCAGATCGATCTCCCACCACCTGTAAACAATGAGCATCTCCAGAAAGAAGTTCCTTTCCTGCCCAGGTCACGTCCCTAGACCCAAAACATCTAAAGCCCAGACCCAAAAGGTTTAAAGACTACGTAGGCAAATAAGGCTTTGTGTGTTTATCTTCTGCCACAGGAACAGAATAATTTAGATTAAGACCTTAATACTGAGCCCAACCACTCACCCAACACTGCCAAGCAAGTCCACATCCCTAAGTGCCACATGGACACATCTTTTAAATACCTCCAGCGCTGGTGACATCACCATTTCCCTGAGCAGCCTGATCCAATGCTTGACAGCACTTTCAGTGAAGAATTTTTTTCCTGATACCCAACATTAGCTGCCCCTGGCACTTAGAGTGCATTTTGAGGGCATTTCCTCTTGATCCTGTCACTTGTTACCTGGCTACAGCCTCCTTTCAGGGAGTTGTAGAGATAAGGTTCCCCCCGAGCCTTTCTTTTTCCAGGCTGAACACCCCTAGCTTCTCCTCATCAAATTTCTTCTCCAGACCCTTCACCAACTCCCTTGCTCTTCCAGAGCACACACAGTGGACTGTTCCAAGAGAGCTGCAAGATGAGGAAAAGTAGCTCACCTCCAGCAGTCCCTTGCACGTGCTTTGTAGGAGGAGTAGTTGATTTTGTTGAATATACCCTCCCTCTGTGTACAAATATGCTCTCAAGTGACTAAAGACTGAAGCAAGGAGAAGAGAGCACTCCAAAGGGTGTTCAGCTCAGCCTAATATTTCTTTTCACAATCAATTAGCTAATCCATTATGTCTAAAGCATGACAGCTCAGGCTTTTGCTATCATTACTTGTTAAATCAAGATAAGTGCCTGTTTTCTAGAGCACTGGAGAAGGCAGTTCAATAATGGGTCCCAGATAGGCAGTAGTGCTGTAGAGAGCTCCAGGGTGAGATTAGAATAATCCTTATGTATCCTCTTAGTTCACTATCCTATTAAAAATGAGGTTGGGACCAAGAGATTTTTTTTTTTCAGCCTCAGAAATAAACATGCTACAAAGAAGCTCTAAAATAAAATATTGGATATTCTTATGCACTGCTGAAAATGATAATACAAGTTTCTGGAGAAGCATTTAAAAATAAGAAGAAAAAAGAGCCTGTGAATAAAGGAAATTCTGCCTGAGCCTGAAAAGCAGCCAAGCCAGCAGCCACACTAAAGTATTTCTCTCAAATTTCTAATGAAGACTTGGATATAAGGTCTGGGAAAAGAACATCTGGGTTTGAGTGAGTAAGAAAATGTTTGAGTTCTGCACATGCATGGTATTTTGTCACACTTTCCCCGTTTCCTTATCTGGAAGAGCAGTGTCTTTGGGAAGGGTTTGTTGGGGCATTGTCAAAGACACATAATGGCAATACAACACTGGACTATTTGTTCACAAAAGCAAAGCTGAATAAATAGTTTATAACAATAAGCAGCCATACAAGAATACTAAGTGTCTAGAGAGATGGAATATTAAACTAGTCAGGCCCAGGTAGGAGACACATGATTGATCTCACTGGAGAAATGGAAAATTAACAGACCTTTCCACAGTGATGATGCAATTTACAAGAAGAAAATTACCTTGAATTTATTACTTATCTCACAATGAGACTTTGAAACACCAAAGGAAAGACCTCTCTGTTTTCTTGTCAAAGTAGGCTTAAGATTTTGTCTATCAACTCAATCCCAAAACTTAAGAGTTTTGTGCCCACTCCTATGTTTCCTTGTATCAGTAGCTCCAGGGCAAGGTTCAGGAACATCAGCAGGGAGCCAGGCACATCTCTACAGGTAGAACTTCAGAGCTGCATCACAATTTACTCCTTTAGTTTCAATAATATGAGCTCCTGGAGCAGCAGCTGACTGGTTGACTCCAGTATTTTCCTCACTTAGATGGGCAACACTGAAAAGCAAGAACATGGCATTGCATCTGTACACAGTACAGACAAGATTTTATGAGAGCTGACAACTCTGCTGTGCTCCTACGAAGCAAAAGCAAGCAAGGTTTCAGAAAGAGATACAAGAACCTCTTTGCAGATTAGGGATAACTAATTTAAGTTGCAAGAAAGACCAGCAAAATTCAGGACAGATAGCTTGCCAGCTAAAGCCCAAAGTGTGAGCCATTCACATCCTTGAGTATTTACACGGAGAAAGATTTGCAATGCCTACAGGTTGTTTCATCTAGCAGAAATCACAAAAAAAATAATAAAAAAAAGATCTTTTTAGCAGGGAGAATAATTATCCAATGAGATTTTTTTCCCCAGACATTGTGAATAAAAACCCTTCTTGCATCTCAGATATAATGCACTTGACTCAG